ACTCCCAGTATCGCCACTCACACCACTGATGGGATCATCCACCCTAGATTCCCTGCGTTTCCAGTTCCTCTCTGTACCAGTGTACATCCTGCCGATAAAAACATGATCATTGGAAGCTTTAGTCAGCTGATTAGATACCCTGACTACTTTCCATTTTAAAAATTCTCCCCACTAAAAAATACCGACTGCCATCTGGTCAATTCTGGCTCAAGATGGCCCTGTCGGACAGAATAGAACTGACCGATAGGCTTTCCAAGGTTAGACTCTGTACAGAAGCAGACGGCCACACAATGGCTGGTTGGTTTGAACCACCAGCCTTTTGGATGGTGAACTTTGGTCAATTCCTTAACCATTGAATCACCCAGGCCCCCTCTCTGCCCATTAGAATCGCTCATTTTCTTTCAAGACTGGTTATTCCAGAATGTATTAATGAAATAATTTTACCTACTACTATAATAGTCACTAAAATTGCAATTGATCTAAGTCGTCGTTTTATCAACTTACTGTAATTTCAACGTACTGTAATTTATTGACACATTTTAAATTGCTGTGGTTGCAATCATTCATAAAGCTTGCAATCCATATGAATGTGTTTACTATTGCTGCTGCCGTCAGTTGTCATCGCGTTGATTTTCATTCCTGGTAACCGCCTGTGTATAAATCACAACTGTAGACCACAGGATTTTCAAGGTGATGACTCTTCGGAAGCAGACTTCCTGGTCTGTCTTCCACGATGGCTCCGAGTGGGTTCGAACCGCCAGCCTTTCAGTTCGTAGTCAAGCATGTACGCGTTTGGGTCAGCGACGCTTGCTCCATGAACTCTTACTTTCACATTAGACTTTTCCACCGTGGTCAAAGGTCCTAGCAGACTTCTTCCAGGCCCATTCGGGCCAAGTCAATCCGGCGGCGTGTGAAGACCACGTGTCTGAGAGTGGAAGTGTGCGTGGCAAGGCTTTGAGTAACTCACTTTGCAGAACTAGAACCCGGGCCTCTTCCCTCCGGACTCTCTGTAGGAACTCAGAGCTCCCACATGATGTTTAATAGCAAAGCGCACCAACAATTGGAACCACCCAGAGGTGCCGGCAGACTTCTGTGGCTGTTCTTGTTTGCTGTGGTTCCGGCTGCTAGCGACCCTTTGACAACAGAACAAAACACTGCCTGGTTCTGTATTGTCCTCTCAATTGCTGGCGACGTCTAAGATGCAGGAATGAAAGATTAACTAGAAAAATGTAATTCTTCAGAAACCCAGTCACTATTCAAATCTGTTTGGTAC